CAGTGTAAAATGTGACCCTTAGTAGACTTATATTTACTTTATTTACAAATTTGTTAATTCTTGAGATCCGTTATAAGAACTAAGGAATTCAAGTACGTAAAGCAATTTTCTTAAAATACATTGAAGTGAGCTAAACGGCGAGGCCTTTCTCTTCCGCAATATTGACAGGCGAGTTCCTATCCAGGTGCTATCAAACACAACTATCTTTGTCGGTTTATCTTTCTTGTACGGGATCCTAGAACCATACATCTTTACATCTTTGAGAGGAAATAGATTAAGTTCGGTCAGCTTATGAAGACAGATTGACCGAACTTGATCTATTTCCTCTCAATTATAGGCATCTCCGCGGTGACCTCATCCAAACCTGCCGAATTGTTAGAGGCCGTGAGTGCGCCCTAGAATTTGACGAATTCTTCGAATCGCCTCGGAAGGATAATCTACGGGGTCGTCTCTTTAAACTGCAGAGGAAACCGGCCTACATGAACGTTCGACGGAACGCCTTCTCCCAGAGAGTCATCGGAGCGTGGAACGGACTCCCTAACGAGGTGGTCCTCTCAGACAGTGTTGACATTTTTAAACACAAACTTGATTCTCATTTTCTGAGAAACTGCGACAGATATAATGAACATAGTGTCAGAAGCAGCACGTTGCAACTGGCTCACGCTTATCTATGATGTTTGGAATTTGGAATTTATATTTCTTAGCGCCAGAACGGCACTTTCCGAAGCCTTGTGGTAGGTAACGTGATCAGTGAGTGCACCTCAAGATAAACTACAATCTGTTGATGACCAGCTTGATGTTTTTTATATTTGGAATTTATATTTGTTAGCGCCAGGAAGGCACTGTCCATATAAAATTAGTTTCGTAAAAACACAAAAAAAGAATTTGACAATGTGCGCAGATAAACGTACAAATTTGTAACAATTTCAGCAGAAGCTGTCCTTTTGGGGCAACATTTAGCGATGTTTTGCATTTAATGATGAACTGGAAAATATAGGCAGTTAAAAAACTCCCACAGTGAAAATGGAGACAGAGTTCAACGTGCCCCCACTTTCAAAAAGCGTGTAGGAGAAAAAACTGCTGAGGAAAACAGGACAGAGGAGTAGGAATTCCGCTGATGGTTAGTAGCCAATGAAACGGCAGCTGTTTAGACTGGGTACGTCCACGTGTCTTCGTTTGATTTAGCGGTGGTTAATGGAGACATCTAGGTTTCCGGAGGACACGAGGCAGAGAAAAATAGTTTCAAAAAGTTCTCCTAAATTCCCGATGGTCCTTTCTCGGAGTCATCGAGAAAGCTGCTCGGAAAAGATGAAGAGAATAAAAGGTTAATTGAATCAACGGTAAGATAAATGTGCAGTCTTCGCTTGAAAGCAGACAGTCTAGTTACCGACCTGACTTCAATTGGCAAGTTATTCCAAAGAAAGCTATCTCTGGAAGCAAAAAACAAAGAGCATTTAGTTGAGGGGAATGCATGAGGAGGTATAACAAGTGCAGAGTTTCGTAGGTTGTAGGGACGTCTGAGAGGGTAATGACAGAAAGCTTGGGAGGATTTGTGCTATTTTTACTGCAAAAAAGGAGACAAAGTCTGCTTCTGATCTCCACACCCAAAGGAATCTTAGTTTCGTTAATTGGCATCTATTTGAGTAATACTTTTAGGAAAATGTCGGGTAAGGCAGTTTTTTTGTGCAATATCTTTGGACGCTTTCAATTTTTGAACGGCTAGGATTTGAGAGGGACTAGGAATTGCTATGACAATCTGCCGATGTCAGTTTGGGTTTCACACTCGATAAATCGAAGTTCGAAGGCAATACGATCTAATGGCTCATTGGTCTCTAATGGATCTAGGCTTCGACTTGAGCTGGCTGACTTCACCTCATAGAGTTTTATGAAACCCAACCAATAATAATTGAGATGGGTCAGCGCTGGGCAATCGTGGGTACAATTTGTGTAGGGTTCCGTACTGTGTTTGCGAATGTCATTGGGCCTTGTTGCTTGCTGTTAAGATCAAGATCAAGCAACTGGAATTCACTTTTTCCGATTTTAAATGTTTATTTGCGTGTACTGTCCGGCTAACTTTATTTGGCTGGAAAGTGCACTGGATTTTTCTTTGATTCACACTTTCTTCAATTAAATAAATGAGTCAGAATATCCTTTCGAAGATCTTCATGCAGCAAGTATAAAATTTTGTTCAGCTAGAATTATAATTGTTCCTACTTGAGCGTCTCAGTTCATATGTACCGTACTTTTCAGTATCTTAGTTTCATTTGCAATGCTTCGCCTTCCTTTAACCCTCTTGATTAGTCGATTAATTAGATATAATTCCTTCGAATGTACAGTTGAAATTCAGGTTAGATGATACTGTCGCATAATCAGTTTTATGAATAGCGTAATTATGTTTGAGTTGTCTGTAAGGGTATATATTTCAAAGTTATTAGACCTTAGTTCTCAGTACTGTATATTTGCACGCACAGTTGAGAATAAAAGCAACAAAACGGATATCCAGAACGGACAATCACTAACAATTAATATAAAATGATTCGATCTATAATAGATGAAACATGTAAATGTCGAGCCGTTACCGGTGCTTTAAAATGTGTTTAGAAATATTAGGTAATTAACCGTATACTTTCGGATTCTTTAATGATTATATAAAGAGAAAGCTAACGCAAATTAAAAGAAGGCACACACGCAACGAATTGCAGAACAAGCTACAGACTTAAGTCGCCATTATATAGGAAATGCTTAACCAAGTTTGGAGTCAAATTGTCTCCTAAAGAGCGAGGTAATGGGGGTATTTAGTATCTTCGGATAGGTTATTGCGTATGGGTCCATAGGCCTACGCATAGGCAACGCCTGCTTCGTCTCTAGGGATATAGGCTGTAGCCGGTCTAACACAGTAAGTCTGACTACTCTTCGTTCATTATCCTAACCATCATGTGCATTTCGAGGAGATCAAGGAGGTCTGAGGAAGATGAGGATCTCACAAGACTGGGGCCTGCCTACTGCACTATATGCTCGCTATATGCATGGTTCACAAATTACAGATAGTGGAAATGTTCTCAATGATGTTAAATGAAAAATAAGCAAAATTACATTTTCACGGATGATTATTTGCAAAGCAGTGACAACATTGATAACAGTGTTCGAGGCCTACGGTTTGACGAAGCTACTTGGAGCTTGGCGGTCGAATGTCACAATTGTGTCACGCAAATAATGTTTTTAGGATTATTGACTATTTCGGCCGGCACTTAGTCTTCAGTCGGGCGTTTTCATTTCGAAGGGCATGGATTACTACTTGTACTGGGGCGCCAGAGGCGGCCGCACTACCAACTTTATGAATAGCTTATTGCTTTCAACTTCCCTCTGCAATAAATTTTCTTTATCACTTCGCCAACAGATTGCCAATTTAGCAAAGGTCCGGTTGATCGTTAGATTAGCTTTGCCGATACCTACGTCTCAATCCCTTATGACGATCCTGGTGTCGTTTAAGAGACTAGACAAGGGAATTCAATTAAAACGGTTACTTGACAGTCAATTTTCACTGTCATCCCATATTTATACAGTAACGTTTTACATTTAATGTTGAAGATGCGACCAGAAATAGCTTCATCGTCACATTACTCGCTTTCAAGCTGACTTAGTCCTCTTTGAGTTTTGGATTTTCTCCTCGCCTGCGTGACCGGACACAACTTACGGGGCTACGTCGTCTTATGGTTAAAATACCCGTTTATGCTTAGTGTATTCTGTCATCCAGAACACCGATAACATGTCAATTTCCATACCGGGTGGTTAGACAATCCGCATAGAGGTAAGGAGGAGAGGCGTCAACCTTATCTGTCCGATAATACCGATGCTACTGATTTCGGTGTTTCGCACATGGCCCCTACACTTTGAGGTTTCACGTGGGATTGTTCAGCCACTTTCTTCAACTTTATCTTCACTCTCCTGATGCAGAGGATTTGCAGCCGACTTTTACTCAATTTGCGTTGTTATCAGTTCTGTGGTTTTGCAATTTTTGGGAAGAACGCTTTCAGCCACAATCATGTGGCGTTTGTTTGCTGTCTGACGAAATGTATACTGCAGTGTACAAGAAAAACACAAAATTAACTTCTAAATAACAGTGAAATTCAGTGCTCCCGTTGAAGTTCGTTGATAAAACCTTTTTACCAACTGCAGCTGATCTTGCCTTAGTGCGCGAATATGCATAAAATTCCTTTGGAACGTCTTCACATCTGCAGAGCTGAGGTTTTTGAGAACGAAGTCTTGTCATGCTAACTCATTACTTTGACTATCTTCTATATCTCTATGACTGTTTTTCCTTCTAGTCCGAATATGACAATTGCAAGACGAATAAAGCCAATTTCTAGGGTATTCATAAATTCTGACCCTCCCGTCTGTTGGGCTTCTAATTACTCAATTAATCAATTTGTTTATTCCAATTACGACACGCCTATACACATTTTATTGTATCTGATACCAGCTTCCTTCTTCCTCTCTTTCAATCGTCGTCCAGTTTTTTTTCTTGGATTTTTAAACAAGCTTCGTTCTGTGGGTTTTTTATTTTTAAGTATTCAGTGGTAGTTTATTTAGTTCGTATAGGTGTAGGGCGACTGCGATTATCTCTGTATGCCTGGTTTTATTTCCGTTGTTCAGCCTGAGAGTTTTTTGAGAGAAAACTATATTCTGCTGCCAGAGCACCCCTCGATTCCTCCCATTTTTGCATTCGGCCGGATGTCTATAGCTGTTTGTCTATCTATTTTGAATTTATACTGTTATATTTTCGTTATAACTTTTTGCTACCGCTTAAACACGTTTGATTGCTTCATTTGTGACCAAAATGTAGTTGAATCTTATAGGCTGTAGATGGTCAAAACCTCGAATTTTTCTATAGTATGCTGTTGTTGTCTCAAACCCTTCTAGTTCAAATGACCCCAGTTTTTCCGACCTATTCGACAGGGTAGATACAAATATCGCTTTGGTTCCAAGTAAGGTGAGTCAATATGACTGCGAGGGAGCCGGATATCGTGGTTGCCAAATTTGATTATAAGGCTGCCGATAGCCAAGAGCTGGACATTCAGAAAAACGAGAAACTTACTCTAATGGATGATTCCCAGCACTGGTGGAAAGTTATGAATTCCCAAGGACAAGTAGGCTATGTTCCCAGCAACTACGTCAAGCGGTCCAAACAGGTTAGTCTTTCTTGCACTGATCTAACTTCTTTGACATTTTATTGCTCATTTCTCTTGTTATCTATGCAGACTAATCGTGGATTGTAGATTGTCTGCTTTACGTATGATTATTTTACGGCAGTTTTCATCATTAAAGCCCGAAAATGTTTTCCTTACTTAAAGAATATCAGAATCAAACTTAGAATATAACATTTTCAGGGATACAGCAGTTGATAAAACACCTTTAATAGTTCCAAGTAGTTACTGGACTTCGTAAACTAAATGCTACGTCCAGACACTTTCAATCTTTTAAACAATGACATGCCACGTGTCCGATAGACTTGCATATAACTCCTGGATTAGTTATTTATATTAAAGTTCCTAAACGTCCTGTTGACTGTTTTTCTAAGCGATTTGTATATTTAGTCTTTGTCTTCCTCCTCCTCCTCCTCCTCCTCCTCCTCCTCCTCCTCCTTTTCCTCCTCCTCCTTCATGCACAATGTACTCTTGTAGTAGGTCACTAAGTTCATGAGCCCTTGATTGGAATGCTAAGATATAGTTTTCCTATAAGACATTATCTAAGTGGAATTGGGATGCTGTTTTCGGATTTTGATCCTTGAATTAACCACTTGAAAGGCACAACAGCTAGAAAATAACGAACTGATTTGCCTTCTTCATCCAGTTTGAGACGCTACAATTGATCCAAGCATGTTGCGTACAGTGCATGGAAAAGCGTCCTCTCCTGGACCCTTTTTGCAGCAGACTACGTTTTCTTC